GTTCCAATTTTTGCCTAACATTTACAAGACCGAGGAAAAGTGCTTTTTTAGTTTGGAGTCGAATGTAACCCAAACGCTGTGATGTATAGCTCATCCTTTCAACACAGTGGATTAATATTTGGTACGCTTATCAGCGGATATTTTGCGAACAGATATGGTCGGAAATACGTACGTTTTAATATATTCAGGAGTTTTAACCTTTTTCTTCATGGCATGGTTAGGTAATAACCACTCTAATCGTTCAGTTTTGATTACTGTGGAGTGGTTTTAAGCGTTTATTTTATTTGCATTGCAAAGTAATGCAGCAGGGTATGAGAGTAGTAGTACGGACAAAGTAACAGAGCCAAAGCGAGAAACTAACTGAATACATTGTTGATTCAGTGCAATAGTGCTAACTGCTTGCTGAAGTTTGATATGAATTTTCTTTTAAAACTTACGTTTTACCCTCTTCAGACTCTGATGGGCGATTTAGCATTGTTATCATTCTTCTTGGTTATCTCAGCATTTTCACCAAACATCATTTTCTTCACCATACTTAGATTTATTGTCATGATGTGTGCCGCTGGATCTCATAAGTTAGCTTTACATCTTTGAAACGTTGTTTGTATAAGTTTGGTAAAGGGTTTTATTGATTTGCGTCATTTAATCATTTTTCAGCTAGTTTGGGCTAGCATAGTTGTTTTTCTTATCGGTTACAATGCGCCAAATATTCAGGTATTTGGCATTTGTTGCTGTTCTGGTTCATAAAAATTAATTTTAAAAGTCATATTTCAGCGTTTGCCACTTATTTATCATTGAGAACCTACCTCCGAAATGGAGAAGTATTATACCAACATACTTGAGTTATCCAGTAGGTTTCTTTATGACTGCTGTCTTGGCAAACTTTTGTGGGGACTGGGTGACGCTAACATATGTCAGTGCAGCATTTACCATTCTTCCAATTATTCTTATGGGGTAAACTTTTAACTCTTATGCCTCTTTTATGTCTTCACCTAAGTTAGAACCGCAGCGGCGTGTTCTTTATTATTTTTTTTTCTATATATTTGCACAGTGGGGTTAAGAGAGTCAGCTATGTTTGACAGATAAGCAAAGTGGAGTAAATTCTCTGTGGTTTTCAAGCATTTTTTGATGGGCGAAACTGCTAGAAGTCAGTTACTGCAACTTTTTTATTTTTTAAGTGCCAATCTGTTTTTTAGCTTTGCTGTTGAAACGCCTTCATTCTTGTTTGGCAAAGGTAATGTGATGGCTCCAAAGAAGAAGCAGGATGTTAAGCTAGAAAGTCAAGAGGGAGATTCAACAGAAGCTTTCTTGAAAAAGAAGGGAATAGAGTGCAGAAAGAAGGCAAGAGATGCAGCACAGAAATGTGACACTTTCTTTTTCACGAAAAAATCTGTGGATTTTGACGAAAAGTGGAGAGCCGCAGCCATCCAGCAAAGGATTAATGAAATTGCAAGCAGAATGGTCAGGTTTTCATCATTGTTTTAATAGCTATTTTGAATAAATTTTTCTCGTTCGTTACTGGAGAAGCGCTAATAAAAATTCTGCTCATTAAAGTTTTGGAAGGATTGATATGTATTTCATGTATTTTATTGGTATGTATTTTATTCAAATATTTGTGTTATTTTTAGTGGTAGGAGATTGACTTATTTGTCCATTTGTTTTAGAATTAAGACTTACACTAAGACTTGTTTTTGTTCTAGGCAGCTGAAGATTCGAAGGAAGAAAAGTCTTCTGGGTTATTCAGCAGTCCTCTGTTTAAAGATAAAAGACTTGTTTGCTTCACTACAATTCTTGCTTTTTGCATGTCAGTTATTGTTCCTTTTTATGTTTTAAAAGTCAAGGCCAACTTTTCGGTGAACATTCAGCACATCTTGTCTTTGATAACGCAAAAGAATATTTTCTTAGTTGCTGAAGTCCTCAGATTACGTTTTTGAGATTTAGTTTCTAAAAACCGGGTTCAGGTATTTCATTTGTGAAAGCCATTTGTCTTCTGTTTATTTCCGTGGTTTTTTTCTTTTTTAGCATTACACTAAGTACCACCACTTACGGCGTCCTAATGGGGATGGGTGGTGTTCCTGGTGCAATTTGGGTAAATGTCGCTCTATCAGCAGTTTTATCGTATCTCTGTAACTGGTTGGCTATTGCCGCTGAACTTATATGTGGAAAATTAAAGCATCCGATGTGGGCTGGTAGACGTCAGTTGCACATCGGATTTGCCGGTCTAACGTTGTTGCTTCTTTTGTGTCTCCTATCTGTGGACGTAAGTGGTAAGCACTAGGCTTAATAACTTTGTTTCTGTTTATTTTTTTTTGTTATATACATTTTTATGATCATTTTTACATTGCTGAGGGAAAAAGCGATACATGGAAATTGCGGATATATAAAGAAGTACTGTTTATTAGAGGCGTAGCAGTATCAAGGAATATTGTTTAGGAAAAGCTACACCTGGAAGTGGAGTATGGGAAACAGTGGTGAGATTTTTGGCGTGGGCAATTGTTGGTACTTGTACCGAGCTTTACATAGTCCATCACGTACAGTCTTCTGAGACTTTCCCAACGCCAGTTCGAGCAGTCGGATGCAGTATTGTGCAAACAGCAAGTCGTTTGGGAAACGCGTTTGGGCCCTTGCTTCTTATTACGGTACGTCATTGAATTAATTTCATTGGGAAGTCGAGAAAGATTTCAACATGTTGCATGTCTATGAATTGTGGAGATAAAATGATGTGTTGATATTTTTCTTTTAAATAATGGAATTAGAACTGACCAGTTTCGTATAAAAGATGTCTTATATGTCGTTTCAAATGTATTTGCCATTGTTATGTTATTATTTTCATTAATTTACTTTCAGAAGAAATATCACTCGTCTATTCCGTATGTTATTATGGCAGCTTTATTTACGCTTGAGCTGTTGATATACATCCACTACAGTTTTGGGCTTTGTGGCAGAAAAACTGAGGAGCAGGCTGTGATACGTGAAACAAAGGGTAAACCGAAGCCTGAGTTTATGCAGAGCGAAAGTCAAGGGAAAAGCTTTAACGATTATGTAAAGGAAGTTAAAATGACTGACGAAGATTTGGCTGAATTTGATGATACTTCTGCTTAGGCAACTTTTGAATCATAGAAACTTTTAGTCATTTGCAATGATCTAGCTGCGTGTTGATACAGTTCTGTGCGCTGCTTGTTTTTTTACTTTGAGAGAACACAGATAATATATTGAATAAAAAAATTTAAAACTATGTATTGCCTGTAAAAGCGATCAGTATCACTGAACATTTATTACCGTTAGGGAGGTTTGATACTATGCGTTTCTGTGTTTCTGTGCAAATACAATTTACGGCAGTTTTTCTGAACTCAGTTGTTTAGCATAAAGCTTCGAAATGTTTAAGAGTGTTGATTATTTTGGCTCCCATTTATGAAGGGTCATTTGTTTCAATCTTGGCACAAGGTGGTATGGAAATGATTAGGGATTGATTTATGGAAAACAGCTTGAGGAGCGTGAGGATGTGTGAAATAATGTTTGTTGTAGTGTGTCTTTGTGCAATTCCTGAAAGGTTGCGTTTGGATGGTCCAAGGAATTTCCTTTTTTATGTGTTTGCTAGTCTCATAATGGAGTAAGAAGTACTCGTAGTCAAAGTGATGTGGTAGTTAGGAAGTTCTTTGAAAGCTTCGCCAAACAGGCGAAACAGTTTTTATGTTGCCTGAGCT